GTAATAATATGATTAAACCTTTATATCTCCATAACTCAGATAATCAGTAGTCGGCTAGAATGAATATCTCTCTATTACCACCTTCATTAGTGTAATGCAATTGTTTTATCAACTAAGTTTCTTATAATTAATTACAAATCTTAAATAATTGTAAGAAACTTACAATCAATTAAAAGGGGAAGGTATATTTCAGAATGAGCGCACACAAAAATTTAAATTTATATGTAGGCTTTATTCCAGAAATATCTATGTAAGGAATCGCTTTTTAATCTATACAAAACACTAAATATATTTTACTCCACTAGATCTTTTTAAATTATTAAACTTCAAAATTTTAAAATTTGAATTTCCGCTCCTTTATGAAAATGGATATTCATGTGGTCAAACGGCTGAACAGCACAAGATCTCATGTGAGAAAAAATTGAGTTATCTCTTTGTAGATGTCACTTATTTAGGTCTCTGTGGGCTTGTAACCACAGCCTACGATTACTCTCCCCGATTTCTTTCACCCTATACTAGCGTGTGCTATCTATTAGAGAAAGAGTCGACTACTGGGGTGTACACAGATGTATTAAGCACCCAGTAGACCGTAAAAGTATTTACCTTACTGATAGTCAGACTCCGAACATGTTTTTGATTTTGGCTCGTCCGCAAGACCTGCTTAAGCGATAGATTGCTCGGATGTCATATATCGCTCTTGTCCAGGTAACGCCAATCAACAGGTCCTAGCTAGAAAGTTCTTTACTTTTTTAGTGAACGCACTCTAGCGTTCGTTTAGCATACCTTATGTAAGTTACCTGCTCATAGCGTTCAAATTTAAATGTTAATGTGTGAGGTAATGATAAATTGAAAAAAAAAAAATTATAATAAGCAACATTATGATGATTGGGACTGAAAAATGAGAACTAACATTTTTTTACATTTATTAGAGTAAGTTTTTATCAGAAAACTAGAAAAAAAAATTTTTATAAATGACAAACAGACATCAAAACTGNAATAATAAAAATATTAAGTTAAATAAATTTATTAAAAAATGTGTACCCTTTTACTACTGGCTTTTTTATTAATTGGTCTTCTTGTACACAAAAAACTTTCTTATTCTTTATGTTCCACGGTATTCAGATAAGATCCTATAACCTAATCTTCTATCATTCGTTTTTTATATAGCCTTTTTTCTCACGTTTGTGGGTCTAGAGTTTCTATAAATACTTGGTCATTCATCCTGCTGAAAAAAATCTTTTATTCAGAATACTTAGTAATATCTTACTAATATATAAAGCAAAGTCGCTAAAACCGCTGTAATCGCTAACCGCGAAAACTACTCAACTGATCTTGCTGAAATTTTGCATATTGATTCTTGATACTTCCTAGGTGGTTTTCGTATAGTTTTTTTCTTAAAAAATTTAATAATAATAGAAATAAACAACCTCAAGATTTTGCTAAAATAAGCTAGCTTTGCGCTTTACTTCAGTAGGATCCGCTTGCTGGCTTCGAGGTGAAATTAAAGCCAACCGCAATCAAAGATAGTGAACAATAGTTATAAGATGCCCCATCGAGTTGACCATTATGGTAGTCGATCATCGGCACTACACCAACAATAGAGTAGTCCTTGGTGCAGCTGGGCATTCTGGCTACTGATAACACTCTTCTTTTATTAGCAAGCGAAATAAATCAGGTTTTACCACGAATCGCCAAAATAACCGAGTGCCACGGAAAAATAGGCGTTCAAAATGTCAACGTCTAGGCGTCTCTGGTGGAATTACTAGGAGACGTGTCTAGCCAGAGGACAACGTGCTGCAGCACTTCAGAGCTTCAAGACCCTCCAACCATCCGACCTGGTGCCGTCAGAAAATTTTTTACTTCAATTGTGAGCCAGGGAAGACAACCCTGAAGAGTACGGGCAGCCACAACGGCTTTTTTTTTAGTGGTCGTTCCAACAGCACACCTACAGAGAAGGTATTCTCCACGCCCACTTTCCTGACTAACGATGAACGGTTAGTTATCTGGGGCATGACCCGAAGACGAGATATTCTTTGGTCAGCTTAGTACCACCCTCCTGTACGGTCTGCGCACACGGAGACTTTAAGGGTAAGAGTCAAGCTACCCGCAGCTAGCTCTTCATCATCGAGAATAATAATAAGGGATAACTGGAAGTCTCACCACTGGCCCTTTTCAGGGCCATTATAAGTACTTACGTTCCCTACTTCACCATCAATCTCATTAGTTTTTTCAAGGGCTACCTAAGTTTAAACTACCTTGCCAACAAATACATTTGTACTACCATTTCCGAAAACGATTCGTCGACTAAAAGACTATATAATAACTAAAGACGGCCACTATTAAACCAAGTCAGTCATTTACTGGCAGTCGTCACGAGCGCAGTTGTTCGTCGCAAAGCTGGGAATCTCGACGACCGACAACCCTATATTATCCTCTCGAGTCTAAGCATTCAACCAGAAATCACCGATCCTCTTGAAGGTCTGCGCTGGGAGAATCTAACAGCTATTAAGAAAAAAAAAACTTGAACCAACGGGACAGTCTCCAACAAGCATGCATCACGAACCAATCCCCCCTCCTTAGTGACCAAAACAGCTGAGTCTGCTAAAAAAGAAGGTGTTTTAGACACCAATGTCTTCGACATTATACCAGGTGCCATTGGGAAAGATCTCTACAACTAGCTCCAAAGCTTCGGACTTCGTTATTTTTCTCCTGATCAGTTCAGGGTTTCAACAGCAGGCCAGAGAAGATCGCCCTGAGGTATCCAGGCAGTCACAGTTGCTGTTAACTTCAATCAAGGAAGAGTTTACTTAAAAAGCTTATCGATCTTTTTTAGAGCCATCAAACGTCGATTTACTTTGCCAACAAATATGTTAGAACTTAACAAAGTTGACAAAAAACAGCCTTTGGGGCTCACAAAAGTCTTAACCATACTAAAAGTCGCAAGAGGGTGAATTAAAAGAAAAAAGTTATATGCATCTAATGAATACAATCTCAGGCGTCAAGAAACTGTTGCAGAATATTTGTCGAAATTGTAACAGCAACGTTAAAATTAACTAATAAAGAATCTATTGCGTTAGAGATCAGCTTTTTTATTTAGTACCCTCACAGTAATCTCTTAAATCTTCCATATTTTCAAATAGGTAGAATATGTCTTTGTATTTTTGTGGCGATAAAAAATGTAGAGACAA